GGTCGGCCGCGAGCACCTGTTGCTCGAGGGAGACGAGAGACGCCTGGAAGGGGAAGTCGCTCCTGTCCAAGTCCTTCCAGGTGGTCGGGCAGCAATGCTCCTTTGCGACGGGGTGATGTTGCGAAACTGCAGCTAGCCCGCCAACGGCTCTGACCAGCGCCCCAAGTGCCCGCGGAGGGCCCTGAGGCCCTCGGCGCTGACGCAGCGGACAGCCCCGCGCGGATTCCGGATAGGACGGACCATATTTCACGGATCGCGAAAGGCCGGGGCCGCCTCCCAGACATCCCCGCACGGCCAGGACCCCTTATAAGGAATAGCAGCACGCGGGGCCCCCGGACCGCGATGAGCATGCTCACCAGCACGTTGATCCTGCAGGAGTTGGATGGATCCCCATCTGGGCCCAGTAGGCAATTGCGGAGTCTGCGGATACGCGGCGTCGCCTTCCTCGGGAAAGTCCGCAGGCGCCCCGAGGGCGGCCGCCCCGCGCGTCTTTCACAGCAGCGCGCGCTGCGGCTTCAGAAGGCAGGGGGTCGTCGAGGAGTGCCGGGCGGGACGGAATCCCCCCCGAGGCGCCATCTGCGCGACGTTCCGGGACGCGCTGGCCCAGGGGGAAGCTGCTCCTGGAATTGCCCCCCTGTCGCCGGGCGCCATTTGGAGGCCCGTCGCGCCCATCGACGGCCCAGGTCGCCGCGTAGATGTAGTTGGTTGGGTCGAGGCCAAGCCCCAGGTCGCACTGGGCCCATCGCGACAAGGAAGCTCCCCGCAGTGCTCTGCGAGGTCCAGCGGCGCACGCGGGGCCGTGCACGCGCGGACGCAGGCCCACGACGCAAGAGTGCACGGGCGCCAAAGCGGGGCCCATCAGCAGCGCGGCGCCGGCCGTCTGAAGGCCCAGGTGGCCCCAGCTGTGATCTTCAGGCAGAGAAGGTCTACCAGGGTGGCGGGGCTGGGCTGCTGCTGGTCGCGCACCTTCGCCAGCTCCTTTTCCTTGTCAATTAGCTCCTTTTCCGCCGCAAGCCTTTCGGCGTCCCCCATGATGGTGGCCTCGACGCGCGCGGAGTCACCAGCGAGGGGCCCGGGCACGATGGCCAGGTCCTCTGAGGTGCCGCTGATAGCCGACTGCCGACGGCCCTGCAAATTGGACCCATATGCGGACTTCGAGACCCCAGCGAGCTAGCACGCTTAGCTGGGACTCGGACGCAGCGCTGAACATCATGCAATTGCCGACGACAACGATGCCTGCTTTGCCCCCGGTGTAAGCGACGTTCACCCTATGACGGTCGCTAAAGGAGCCCCAGGCACAGCTGCTGTTGGCGCGCGCAGCCCCCATGATGATGACCAGGTCGGCCTCGCCCCTTGGCTGGAGTCGATCGCGCAGATATCGGCATGCCCCTCCTGGAACAGCATGGGGCAAGGCTCCTCCAGCCCAGGGAAGTGCAGGGCCAGGCCGTCGGCCTCGGTCCTGCCTGGCCTGCAGACGGCGCGGTGGTCGGCCTGGCAAGCTCCCCCCTTGCCCACGGCGCTTGGGAACGACGGGGGCACGCAATCTGCTTGCCGAGCTCCGAGCCGCAATGGCGGCCCGAGAAGCAGCCCCGGCAGGCTGGCAGGGCCAGGCGACCTACCGCGCGGCCGCGCAACCTTACCTTCGCCCTTGCCCTTGCGCGCCGCTCGGATGACCAGGGCAGCTAGCGGCCGGCCTTTCCGCGCCGGCGGCAGCGTTAATTCATGCCCGCACAGCGCCGTGACATTGCGCCAGGTCTTGAGCAGGTCTTCTTCGCACGCCGCCACCAGTCGCAAATCGCAGCTGCCTCCCAGACGTTCCCGTAGCCCTCGGCACGGGTCATGGACGCGGACATGGCCCCCTTCCTTGACTACCTACCAGACCACCCCAACACAGCCCGAACACCCGAATTTGGGGTTCGGGGGGGGGGCACGGGTTCCATACGTGTTTTCTAAAGGTCCCCCCCCCCGTGGAAATGGAGGGCAAGCCGAGGCCTTCGGATTGGGTCGGGGTGGCTTGGTGGGCGGTTGGTTCCTGGGCACCGCGGACTGACTGGGCTGTGGAAGCCCAAGCCCAGAGGAACGGTGCCTCTCGGCCCGGCGGCGCCATCCCGGCGCCGGCTCAGCTCGCGCCAGGGCATGGGCTGTGCTTTCGGCCCGGAGCCTCTTGACCAGGGGCCGGCGGCCGCTCGGGCACACGAGGCCCTGGAGCAGCCCCCCCTCGCAGACTGAGTGCGACGCCCACTGCAGAATGCCAGGGCGCACGCAGCAGCACTCTGCCAGGAAGACGCTGCGACCGCCACTTGGGCCGAGCGAGTCGTGGAGGCGCTCCATCGCTGAGACGGTCAGCACCACGGCGGCCGCGCGCTTCGAAGCAACCGTGGGGCTCAGCTGCCGCTCATATCCGACGACCACGACGCGCCCTCCAGCTCGCGCAAGGAGCACGAGGGGAGATGAACACCAGGGCCCCCGTAGACTGTCCAGCCTCGTCCAGTCCGAGATGCCCATCACGCTGTTGGGGCGCCCCCCCGCGCCTCGTGGGTGGCGAGGGCGAGACTGGCCTCGCTGCGAGATGCCGCGCGCGAGGTGGTCCAGCCCGTTTTGTTTGAGACAGCCTTGCAACTCTGGACTCCGAGCAGCCGCGCTAGAGGTGGTCCAGACCGTTCCGCCTCAGACATCCACGCAACTGTGAGCTCCGAGATGCCGCGCACGTGTGGTCCGGCGCGTGTCGACCAAGACTAAGGCATCCTCACAACTGTCGTTCCTGAGTTGGCTGGGACTAGGCGCACCGCCTGAGGCATCCTCGCAATTCTAAGCTTCGAGACGCCGCGCGCGACGTGGTCTGGCCCACTTCGCCTGAGACATCCTCGCAACTCTGAGCTCCGAGATGGCGCGCGAGGATGCGGTCTGGCCCGTTTCGCTTGAGACATCCTCGCAGGTCCAAGCTCCGAGGTGCCGTGCGCGAGGTGCTCCAGCCCGCTTCGTTTGAGACATCCTCGCGAATCAAAACTCCGAGATGCCGTGCGCGAGATGGCCCAGCCCGTTTCGCTTGAGACATCACTTCAGTTCTGGGCTCCGAGCTGCCGCGCGAGAGGTGGCCCGGCGCGCTCCGTTTGAGACATCCACACAACTCCGAGCTCCGAGATGCCGCGCTCGAAATGGTTCGGCGCGTTTCACTTGAGAGATCCTCGCACCCCTGAGCTCCGAGATGCCGCTCAAGGGATGGATCGCGGCGTTTCGCTGCCGCGCGCGGTGGTCCAGCCCGCCTCGCTTGAGACGCCCTCGCAGCTCTCAGCGTCGAGAGGCCACGCGAGAGGTGGCCCGGCCCGTTTCGCCCGGGACATCCTCACAACTCTGGGCCCTGAGCTGCCGCGCGCGAGGTGGTCCGGCGCGTTTCGCCCGAGACATCGTCGTAACTCTGAGCTCCCACTGCTGCGCCTCTCGCTGTCTCCCGCTGCTTCGCGCGCCACTGAGGTCAAGCCCCGTACGCGCAGAAGGCGTCTATACACCACCACCGTGCCAGGCCAGGGCCGCCCTGGCGCTTGCATGGTGTTATACGCCCTCCTGGCCGAAGCCAGGAGGGTCTATAGACCATCCTGGTAAAACAGGGCTAGGATCGGGATAAATCGCTCCAGAGCGTTCCGGAGCGCTCTGAGAGCGTTCCGGAACGCTCTGGAGCGGCCGCGGCGCCCAATACATCCTCCAAACCCGCCGATTCTCAGAGATTTCGAGTTATCCCGATCCGATTTTGTCCCGATCTTCGCGTCGTTTTAGGTCTATAGACCATCCTGGGGGCCAGGAGAGCCCTGGCCTGGCACGGTGGTGGTGTAGAGATGCCCTCGTCGGACCGCCGCGCCCCTGCTGCGCCTCTGCCGCCTCCTCCCCGTGGCCGCCGCCGCCATCCGTGCCGCCTCGGCATCCGCCAGGCGCGCCCCGCCTGCCGCCGTCCCCCGGGAACAGCCGGCGCCACGGCTTTCGTGCTTCGAGGCGTTGGCGCCCGCGGGCCTCCCGAGCCGAGTGGGCCCTGGAAACGACGGGGCCGTTTTTGTTACCGGTTCCGGTTTGCCGTTTTTGGTGCCCGTTCCGACGCCGTTGTTTGACCGGTTCCGTCGCCGTTCTTTGACCCGTTCCGGCTCCGGTTCCAACCCTGGAGCCGTCTTTTTGTTGCCGCTTCCGGTCGCCGTTTTTTTTGCCGCTTCCGTTTTCAAGGGGCATTTTTGGGGGAAACGGTGAAAGAACGGCCCTGCCGTTTCCGGGGCCCACAAAAGCTCCCGGGACGTGGGCCCGCGGGCCTCCCGTGAGCACACTGCAGAAGATGTGGCACGCAGCCTGGCACAGTCACCCCCCCCCCACCCGGTATGCTATGAGCGCCGTGCTCTCCCGCACGGGGCAGACGTGCGAGCGCGCGGTTGAGCATGCGCTCTGAAAGTGGTGTTCGTGGACACTGCACCCCAGCTAGAATTTGAGCCGGAGCCGAAAAAGGTCCGTTCAGGGCGCTTCGCCACTACTTGAATCTCCCCCCTCTTTGCAAAGGAAGCGTGACAACAAAAGACCGGTCAGGCGTGAACCCGACCGCTGCGGGTAAGATTTTTGAGAAACAGGCTGGGGCTTAGAACTAGAATGATGTCTGCAACCGAATGACACCCAGCGGGGATGTCCGTTACCGCAGCGGCGATAGGACCCGCAGGGGTAGGATTCGCCAGTGGTCGCAGGAACAGCGGCATCGGAAAATGTTCCTCCTCTGGGTAAAGGAAGCGTGCACACAACATGCCCATTGGATCGCGCTCTTAGCCGCGGGCTCGGCGAGCGCACGAATCGGTCAAGCTGGCGAAGGGCCACAGCGAAGCGATCGTTGCAAAACCTCCTGGTTCACACGCGCATGTGCGAAAGAAACGTGCACACAACATGCTCCGTCGCCGAGCTCGTGCTCGCGTGATCGATTCGCGTCGAGCCCGGCCGCCATGGGGAAGTGTTGGGGCGAGGAGGACACGAGGGGTGCGCACCAGCGACTCGGCGCACAGCCTCCAGCCGCTCCGGGTCCCCTCGTGGTCGGAGGACCACGTCACGCTCGACAGGGGCGTGACGCCCGTGGGGCCGCTTGTCCCGTAGTATCTCTTCCCGTTGACGAGGAGGTAGTCGAAGTACGACTCCACGTCGAAGCTCTCCACCTGGATGGGCGCCGCAAGCGCCAGGTTGACCTCAAGGGTGCACGCCTGGCTCGAGCCGTAGTTCTGTGGGTAGTTGGGGCTCTCCACGCAGCTGCCATTCACCGTGCACGCGCCGCTGGCTGCGGCCCACATCTGCGCCAGCGCGGGCGTCGCCGGCGGGGGCGTGGGCGGCACGTCCGTCAGCGGAGGGGAGGGCGTCGGCACCGCGTCGGCGCACAGCCTCCAGCCGAGGCGGGCGTAGTCGTTGTCGGAGGACCAGTATATGCTCGTGGACGGTGTGATGTTTTGTGGACCAATCCGCCAGCCTGCCTCCTAAGCTCGGGCGCGTCATTGTGCTTAGTAGCTGTCTCGTGTGGCTGCTGCAGTTTCCCCAGGGCGGCCCCCCCTCCCGGCAACCTTACCAACAAGGGACCTGACACCCTATCGTTTTCCTCCCCTGCCCACTCAAGGCCCCAGGACGAGCCAAGCGCCCTGATGGCTTCCTTGTTGCTCGATGGTCTCCAAAATGGCCCCCAGAGGGCCCGAAAGGCCCCAAATAGTACTCCAAGGGGACCCCAGCGGCTCCCAGAAGACCCATGGATATCTCCAGGATGGATAAAAAGAGGGCCCAGGTGGTGTCGAGCACTGTCTGCTTCCTTGACGTCGCTTCTCCCGCCAGCTCGCCTGGGCAGTGCTTCTGGATGGGCTGGTGAGGATACGGGAGGCGTCAAGGATGCGAGGGGCGCCCTGCGGGCCGCGTGGGGGGCACCTGGCCGAAGTGTTCGCTGGCTGGCGAGCTGGCAGAGCAGCCGCACAGCCTCGACCAGGAAAGGCCTCCGAACGGGCCCGAGGGGGGCCTCGAGCCGGCCCGGGATGGCTTCCAGATGTTCCAGGAGGAGGAGGAGGAGGAGGAGGAGGAGGAGGAGGAGGAGAAGGAGGACCTCACGCAGATGGCTTCACGGTGTCGCACGGTAGCCACGGATGGCCTCCACGAGGGAGCCCGATCGCCCAAGAGGGCCTCGGAGAGCTGCCAGACTGCCTTCAACAGGGTCCAGGAACACCAGTGACGGCTCTTCCCGACCATCATGTGGTGCCGGGTCCTTGTTGTGACGAGACAGAACCCCGCGTCTCCTTTCCCCCTCCTCCCCCTCCCCCTCCTCCCTCCTCCCACCATCATCATCGTCATCACCATCTCCTTCTACACCACAGGCCACCCAAACATTTATGTGTGGTGGGCGTCCTGGGCGATTCCACCAAAGGCGCAGCAGCGAGCGAACGAGACACACGGGAGAGAGAGAGAGAGAGAGAGAAAGGAGGAGGAGGACCCAACGCACCCACACAACACCGAGGAGGAGAGAAAGAGAAAGAGGGAGAGGAGGGCAGGCCAGAAAAAGACGTGAGCCGACACGATTGCGGCGCATCGGCGAGACCGCGACGGCCCTCGGTTCCACCAGAGATGAGATGTGCAAACACGGCCATCTCCTGCTACACCCCAGGCCACCCAAACATTTATGCGTGCTGGGCGTCCCGGGCGATTCCAACAAAGGCGCATCAGCCAGCGAACGAGACACACGGGAGAAAGAGAGAGAGAGAGAGGAGGAGGACCCAAGGCACCCGCACAACACCGAGGAGGAGACCCGAGCCCGAGAGGAGAAGTGGCGACGGCAAGACGGCGCCGAGATTACAGAAGCTTAAACAACAAAATAAACAGAATAGGCAGAGGCAGAACATTAGCGGGAGTACTTACCGGAGACAGGACAGGCAAGGGAAACCAAACGCTTGAAGCCCTGAAAGCCAGCTCGCCTAGATAATTAAATCGGAAAAAATGCAAAATTTAGCAGGGTAAGGATCGGCAAGGCGGGTCCAAAGGATCCCAGAGACAGGGCCCAAGCCAGAAAGGACAGTGTGGGGCTTGTCAGAAAAAGAACATAAACCCTTCCTACCACAGCATCGCGGCCTCAGGAGAACGTCTGGGCGATGTCGGGCCCAGCAAGCGATCCGCGTGAACCGTCTCCAGCGGGCCCCGAACGCCCACATGTCGAGGTCGAACGACACGGCATCGTGGGCCCTGAACAGGGCCTTCAAGGCGGGCGTGCTCCAAACCCAGGAGCTACCAGGGTTCTCGAGGTAGACCGGGGCACCAAGGGAGCGGGCCAGCGCGATCAAACCCAGGGCGAACCCAAGCTGCTTGTTCCCTAGGTCGACGGCCGCCTGTAGCTGAGAGGTTCGGCAGCCCCCGAACGTAGTCCCTCGAGCAGATGGTGCACCAAGACGACCCCGGTGGCCCATGTCTGGCCTGGCTCCAGGACGAGCACGGCAGCGCAATCCAAAGAGCGACGGCGACTCCACAACGAACCCACCGACGAACGACCTGACGAACATCAGGATGGTCGAGATCGAACCACGGTTTTGAAGCGAAGTCCATCGGCAGAGCGGCGACTCCGCGGCGCCGAAGCGCCGCGGACAGGCGCCCTGTGCCGGCGAACAGCTCCAGCACCGTAGTCCGGGACGGGCCCTGGTGACGCTTGAAGCTTGCATGAAGCTCCTTGAGGAGGTGACAATGAATTGACTCCGTCGAGGGCCCACCCTTGGTCGGGCCTGCAAGCTCAATTGCTCGCGACAGGTCAGGCCGAGCTCGGGCCGCAGCGCGCCCTGCCGGAAAATCCGCGGCAGGGCGGCGTCCATCACCTGGCCGAAAGAGGTCGCTGGAGGCCGATGCGCAGCAGCTCGGTCAGGCTGCGGACCTGCTCGGCATACCACTTTAGGTCTCGGTCGGAGGCCCAGCCGCCGCGCTGCCGAGAGTCGAGCGCCGCCCGCCTCTTTGCCAAGAAATCGTACGAGGCGCCCCCGCGATGTAGTCCGCAAGCTGAGACTGGGACGTCGTTCTGCACCAGCGCACAGGCGGCCACATTCATGCACCTGCCGAGCAAGGATGGCGGGAGGGACCAAATCCGCGGTGTCCCCGGCGGCGCTCGGCGCCAACAGCCGAGGAGTACGGGGACGAGGGAGGTGACAGTGTCGATCACCACTGTGAGGTCCCAGAGGCATGTCCTCCCGGGCCGCCCCAGCTCGCCGGGATACAGCAGCAGCGCGGCGAGACCCTCGCCCGCGGCGCCCGCCGCGACGGGGGGGGCGACCTGCATCGCCGTCAACTGGTCGTACTCTGATGGCCTGAGGTAGCACGCGAAACTGGGCATCACGGCGAAAGCCTGCACGACCTGGCCACAGTGCAGCGTCGCGCCAGCCAGCGCCGTCACGAGAACCCGCGGCGGCGGCATGCGCACCTGGCGGAGGGCGCACTTCCCCCGCCCCGCCAGACTGCGCGGGGCTCGGCAGAGCGTCTGGCCGCCCCAGCGGCCGAACAGCGGCAGGAAGGACTTCAGCGGAGCCAGCAGGCACGAGGAATCGCCCCCGCTGTGGCGCCGTGAAAGCACAGGTAGTCAAAGTAGGTCGCCACTGTCCAATCCAGCAGATCCAGGCTGATCCAGTCCAGGCGGAGCTGGGCACGCCATTCGGCGAGGGCGCCCGCCCTCCGCGGGTAGCCCCTCAGCGCGGCCGCGCTGACGGACCTCTGCTCGGGGCAGGTGATCACCATCAGGAGCTCCCTTCTCAGGGCCCCCCGCTGACGCGCACCAGGCGCCAGCGGGGCGACGGCTGGCCCCAGCGCCAGCTACCAGGGGGGCGGGCTAAAAACAGGGGGCGCAACCTCTCGGCATTGGAGGCCGAGCCGAGCGCCCCAGCCTCCCCGCAGCAAAGTCGAGGATCATGGAGGCGGTCACCAAGAGCAGCAGGAACCTCGGCGTCAACGGACTTGATGTAGCGGAGCCCGCGCGACGGCGCATCCAAGGGGTTGAGCTCGCTGGGGGCCCACCCAGCGAATACGTGGAACCTGCAGGCCAGGGAGTACGCGCAGATCTCCTGGAGGACTCTGCGCTGCTGGGGCGAGGCCCCCCAGCCTCTCCCGATGGCAAGGGCGAGCGGCACGTTCTCGACCAGGCACGCGATCTTCTTCCCGAAGGCGCCCGCTGCCCTGAGCTGGCGACGCAGCGCGGACGCGACGGCGAGGCCCCCTGCACGGTAGATGTCGAAGGAGTACCTCCACGGGAACGAGCGCGCGATGACCCAGCCGCCCTCGGAGAGGAGGTCCGGGTCGACCTCGCCGAAGGACTCGCCCCAGTTCTTGGCCTCGTCCGCCGGCAGGCTGGCAGGGTCACGAAGCACCGCGCCAGGAGAGCCAGGCCCCAGGGCGTGGTCGAGCGCGCGAGCTGACTCCTCGAAGAGGCATCGCCACTTCTCCGCCGCGCGGCCGATCTCGGCCACCACGTCGCGGTCGCAGCGGCGGCGGCAGACCCCGCAACCCCAGCCAGAGGCGTCGCTGGCGGTGACCTCGTCGCGCCAGCCCTCGTTGGCGAAGACGACAAAGAGCGGCAGCAGCGAGCGGACATGCCGGAGCTCGCGCCGCACCGATGGCCAGAGCGGCAACGCCTCGTCCTTCGCGGAAGCAATGAAGGCGTAGACTGGGTCGAAGATGGCCAGGGAGCACCTCTTGAGCAGCATGACCCAAATGCAATGGCCCACGACGATCTCCAAGATGGACCCGCGAACCCTCGGCCGTCGGAGCAGCTCCTCGATGGCGAATCGGAGACGCCAGCCTCGGCGCGCAGAGACCCGCACCCAGCGGCGATGAACGTCAAGCTCGAGCCCCACGAAGCTGGTCGACCTGGTTGCCTCGACCTGCTCGTGGAGGACAAAGCTGAGGGTGGAGAGCCCCCGCTCAACCTTGCGGCCCGCGGACTGAACCTTGGCTCGCCGCGGGCCAGCGACAAGGTAGCTGTCGACGCACGCGGCGCCCGCGACAGGCAGCTGGGGCGCAAGAACCACGCCGCGGCTGCGGTCGCGGACCCGCTGCGCGGGGCCGACGCGGGCATGGGCGAGAGCGGCCCCCGAGACGCACTGGCAGAGGTGCAACGCCCAGGACCAGCCCATCGGCAGGATGGCGAGCTCGGGGGGCAACCACTCGGACTCGTGAATCGCGACGCCGTCGAGCTCAGAAATGCCAGGGAGCCCAGCGCGAACAGGCGGCAGAGAGAAGCACTCACAGAGGCCCTCGGGGACCTGATGGCGTAGAAGGTGTTGGAGATGCCCCCGCCGCTGAACCACGCGCCCCCGCCGCCCTGCGCCCCCATGCAAGCGCAGGCGCTGCCGCTGGGCAGCTCGGCGCAGGGAGGCGACCTAAAACGCGCGTTGCAGACGCGGGTGTCGAAGATGAGCCGCTCCGGGCCCGAGGAGCCCACGGCGGCCCCGAGCTGGAGAAAGGCGCAACATGCCCCTGCCCAGGAGCTCACTGATGAACTCCCCGTAGGTGGAAGGGTGTCGAAGCTTAGGATCGACGCAGGCTTGAGAGAGTCCGAGGTCTCGTCGAAGGGCCCCCCAGTCCTGCAGCCACAAGCGGTCGGCCTCCAGATGGGCGCCACGCAGCGCAACAGGCGCCGAGCCGCCAGAAGGCCAGGACACCAGGCCCTTGCTGCAGGAGACCACGTTGCCACGCCCCACGGAGTAGAGCGGGCAGCTGGAGCAGAGGTCGGAGAGCGAACGGGAACGCGATATGCCAGCTGGCGGGCCGCCGAACTGGACATGCTGCGCAACAGTGCCGTCGAGCGACCGCTGGCGAAGAACTGAAGGGCGCTTCCGAGTTGGCGGCGCCCCGCCCCCACCAAGCCAGTTGATCGCCTGGATGCCATCGTTGGCCCAGTCAATCCGAGCCAGAGCACCGCCGAGACCGCCAGCCTCTGGGGGAACCTCGCGAGGTAGTAGAGGAAGGGGAAGAGCGCTTCGCTGACGACTGGCGGCCATGGGCTGCCAGGAGCGAGAGGCCAAAAAGAAGTCCTCCAGGATGGCCGACGTCCTGGCGACCGCTGCACAAACGCCGATGGGCGCCAGCTGGGACTTCGTAGCCTGGCCAACGCAACTGTCCTGCGCACCGCCACGGCCACCAGCGGGCGGGTGGAGCAGCTGCCGCTCCTGGCGCGCCTGGCGGCGCTCCTTCGCGATGGCCGACCCGGCAGCCAGCTGCTTCCAGATCCACTCGGACAGGGCAAAGTAGACCATGAGCTCTCTGGTGGACTGCGTCCCCCTGAAGAAAACTGCCTATCACCGCCACTGCCAAGCGACCGTGAGAAGACCAACTTGTCTGCGCACCGCCCTTCGTAGAACTGACGCTGCCGCGCGACCAGCCGCATGGGGGCCAGGTTCGCCCCGTCGAGCTGGTTGAATGATTGGGCGACCTGCATGATCTGGAGAGACTCGCGATGCGTCGAGACGACGAAGCCGTCAACAGGCACTGGGGCTCCAGACGCAGCCGACCAGTCGAGATGATATCCCACCGGCGAGCCTTCGCTCTCCCCTTGGTATGTCGCGACCCAATGGCACGGGGAAGGCCATGGCACAGGCCGATCGGGGAAACTCGACGGCAGCATGAGCTCCACGCTGTCGATGAATTCCCGACGCCGTTGGCCCTGCATGTCGTAAGCCGCGGCAGGCACCCGCAAGCCCCCAGGCCCTGGGGCAGCAACGCCGTCGGGAGACGCGGCGACGCCGTCTCCACTGGCGGCGCGGACAGCGGCATCCAAGGCAGCAGTCCCAGCGAGCCCGCCACCAGCGGCTCGGGCGCCTGCCGCGCCGCCAGCGGCTGCTGGAGCGGGGGCGGCTGGGGCTGCAGCGGCGCCACCGACTGCCGCGGGCACGCCCGCGGCGATGCCGCCTCCCAGAGGCGCGCCGCCTGCGGCCACAGGGGGAGCGGGCAGCCCGCAACCACCAGCGGTACCGGGAGGAGGGGCAGCAGCAGGAGGACCACCGCCCCAGGCCGCGCTCGTGCCCCGCCATCTTCGCGGCTCCGAGCGCGAAGGCTTGCGCAAGCTGGGCGACCAGCGGAAGGGCGGCAAAGTCGCGCCGTCGCAGCCCAGGGGGCATGGCGGCATCTTGCGGGGCAGCGGCGCGGCCCCACTCCTCCCACCATTTGCGGAGGTTTGCGTTCCCCGCGCCCCACTCCTCGACGTAGACATCGAAGTCGGATGCGAGCATCGCATAGTGCTCATGCCCTTGGGGGGACAGCGCCACAGCGATGCGCCTGTGCGCGGGCCGCGCCCCAGGCCCGCCGCACTCGATCCAAATCTCATCGAAGGCCGAGAACATGAGCGATGGCCCAACCCGCCAATCCGCTGCCCGCCTCGGTCAGGCGAGCCCACCCGCACAGGCTGCTGCGAGCGCACGTGGAGGTCGCCGTCCAGAGCGAGCTGCCGAGCGCGGCCCCGGCAAGGGAGTCGGGCGACAGCCGCGGCGAGCGAGAGCCCCCAGCGGAGGAGCTCGGAGGCCAACAGCAGCAAGACGCAGACCGTCGCCTCCAGCGCCCGGGAGGGCTGTGGCCCGCTGCCCCCGCCGAAGACGGGGCACTGCGGGCAGGGCGAGGGGTTGCCGCAACCGCCGGCGCGACGGGAGCCGCGGGCACGACGCGCTGCAGCCACCAGCGCGTCGGATGCAGGAGCACGGCGTCGCCTGCGAGCGGGAGGCCGAAATCGGAGCCAAAGCGCCTCCGGATGGAGGTCTCGCCCTCCAGAAAAAAGACTTTAGCCGACGCGTTTGCGGCGCATCGGCGCCACCGCGACGGCCCTCGGTTCCACCAGAGATGAAATGTGCAAACACGGCCATCAGCATCATCAGCATCATCGTCATCATCGCCATCATCACCACGATCGCCATCATCATCGCCGTTATCGTCACCATCATCGACACCCATTTCGGCACACCTCTCACACGTTTCGTGGCCCCCCAGGGAGCTCCACCGAGGGCCCCAATGCCACCGCTCACATGCGTCCCCCGCACCCATTTCGGCACTCCCCTCACACGTTTCGTGGCCCTGTAGGGAGCTCCACCGAAGGCCCCAGTGCCACGGTCCACATGCGTCCCCCAGACCCATGTCGGCACTCCCCTCACACGTTCCGTGGCCCCCTAGGGAGCTCCACCGAAAGACCCAGTGCCACCGTCCACATGCGCCCCCCACACCCATGTCGCAACACCCCTCACACGCTTCGTGGCCCCCTAGGGAGCAGTGCCACCGCCCACATGCGTCCCCCACACCCATTTCGGCACAGCTCTCACACGTTTCGTGGCCCCCTAGGGAGCTCCACCGAGGGCCCCAGTGCCACCGTCCACATGCGTCCCCTACACCCGTTTCGACACACCCCTCACACGTTTCGTGGCCCTGTAGGGAGCCCCACCGAAAGACCCAGTGCCACCGTCCACATGCGCCCCCCACACCCATGTCGGCACACCCCTCATACGTCCTGTGGCCCCATAGGGAGCTCCACCGAAGACCCCAGTTCCAGTCCAGGTGCCCCCCCCCACACCCTTGTCGGCACACACCTCAAACGTTTCGCGGCCCCACAAGGAGCTCCACCGAAGGCTCCAGTGCGACCGTCCACGCGCGTACCCCACACCCATGTCGGCACACCCCTCACACGCTTCGTGGCCCCATGTGGAGCCCTTTCCAGCACGCCGTCTCGCAAGCGGAAATCCTGGACTCTGGGGTTTACTGAGAGGGCGAGATGGATCGCGCTTTCCTCTTCTACCAGCACTTCAACATGGCTCGCAAGACGCTCTGCTACGCTGAATGCAGTGAGGCGCGCGCACTGAGCGTGAAGCATCGCCGCGGCGATGCCGAGGACTTCAACTGGCGTGGACCTCGCTACGAGGGCGGATGCGACGCGTGCAAACGCGACGGGGTGTCGGCGCCGAAGGGAACTATGGCGGGCGGTACGCCCGCGGCCAAACGTGGAGTGGTGTTTCGGCGTGGCCCAAACTCGACCCGGTACTGGCGTGGTGTTTCGGCTACAACCTGGGCGCGCTCAAGTCCGAACTAAGCGTTGACGCCCACGCCACAGAGGCACGCTTGACTCAGACTTACGGAGAAGGGGTCGAGGCACTCATGGCCACGAAGATGGGCTCCTCTAGCGCGTTCGCCCACCTGCTCGGCAACGGCCCGCGAAGACGCCCCGCTGCTGCGAAAGCTGCGCCGAAGCGCCGGGCCAAGCGCTCGACGGGGAGTCAGCCAGCGCTGGCGGGAATGAAGGAACGGCCAGTTATGAAGCGCCCCGCTCGGCCCACGCTCCCAGCAGCCCGACGCAACAAGGTCATCTTGCAGGTGGACGAGCCCTTCTTGAGCAAGGGCAAATTGTCCAACTTGTCGAAGAACGCAAGGCCGAAGAAAGGCAAGCTGTGGCTCTGGGGCGCCGTCATCCAGGGCTCGGCGCACCTGTTTTCTTCAAGGTTTTGAAGTCGGCGGAGGATGTCTACGACTGCAAAGCCCAGGGGCAAGAAGGAACTCTTGAATTATATCAAGGAGCTGTCGCCGCCCGCTGGAATCATGATTGTCTCTGACAAGTGGAAGGGGACCATTTCGGCCGTGAAGCAGTACCGCAAAGACACTGGCCTCACTGAGCGGGTGCTACCGCACGAGGTAGTGAACCACAGCGCTGGCGAGAGAGCGGATGATCATGGATGCCAGAGGGTGCACGACCAACAACATCGATCTTGTATGGTCATTGATCAAACAGTGGGTCAGGAAGCGCTACGGCGGCATGTTGCCCAAGAGAGCCGACAGGAAGAGACGGTCGAGGCTCTTTGCCGAGCACGGGTTCCGCAGCACTCACATCAGGGCCACTGAGCAGAAGGTGACTTGCGCTGCGCTGGCGGCCGCGTTCCAGGTGCGATGCTCTGCCTAGGGCACGGCGCCTGCCATCCAGTTGCATATTCACATTCATGGCAGAAGTCCCTTTTGGAGGCGGAGCTCGAGCTATGTCGGGGAAGAAGGGTCCCCGTGCGAACGCCATCCGCAGCGCCCCGAGCCGACTGCGAACAACAGGCTCGAACATCGTCGAACTGCTTTCCGGCGTTCGGAGGCCCAGCGCGGCCCATGCAGTTTTTCCTTGAAAACGCAGGGGCCCAAGTGAGCTTCTCGCCAGAAGAAGATACGTAAGGGAGGGAGGATGAGGCAGAGCCTGGCTTCTGACCCCCTCAGAGAGAGCTGGATAGCTGGACGTCAAGATAGACCGCGGTCGTGCGAGGCAAACGCTAGATGGTTGGGGACGGTCTAGGCATCGTGAAGATAGCAAACGGGATCGGGGTAAGATTACGAGTCATGCAAACGAGTACGAGTACGAGTAGGCGCGCACAGAAGAATGATGCAGGATGAGGAAGAAACGGGAGAGGGCGAGGCGAGGCGACGACACGTGTCCAGAAGGACGGCCCTACAAGAGCGGGGCGGGTGGGTCGGAGCCTGGGGTACACATCGGTTCGACGAGCAGGGGACAATGAGGCGCCATCAGGTGACTCGAGGTTCGTCTCGGGACGCGTCTGGAGACAAGTGTGGGGCCGTGTTGAGGTCTCGCCTGGAAACGTGTCTGGAAACGTATTGTGCGACTCCCTGAGACCATTGCACCCAAGGCAGCCGAAACGAGTACAGCCCATGGTTAGAACTTTAGTGAACCCGCGGTGGAACGACCTCTGAGCCACCTCGAGGCAGGGCTGGCGCAGCGGCGGTGCTATGCCGCAGGCAGCTGAAAAATCCCAGAATACTCCACTCCGTTAACAATAAGGATATCGTAGACTTCCTCTGTATAGAACTGTTCCACTCGGATGGGCGACGCTGAACCCACATCGATATCCACAACGCACGCCTGGTTCAAGCCGTAATTCTCAGGGTAGTTGGGGCTCTCCACGCAAATGCCGTCTATTGTGCACTCGCCGCTGACACCTGCCCACATGTGCACTGGTGCGGAGGAGAGTGGCGGGGCAGGCGTCGGTGGCGCAGGCGTATGCGCAGGTGTCGGTGGTACGCCGGCGCACAGCTTCCAGCCGCTATTGACCAGCCAAAAGTCCGCTGACCACACAATGCTCGTTGACGGTGTGATGCCGCTGGGACCCGTAGAGCCAGAATACTCCACTCCGTTTACAATGAGAATATCAAAATCCGCCTCCGTATTGAAGCTCTCCACATGGAGGGGCATCGCTGATCCCAGATCGATCTCCAGAAGGCACGCCTCATTGAATCCGTAGTTCTGTGGGTAGTTGGGGCTTTCCACACAAGTGCCGTCCAACGTACACTTGCCACTGACAGCTGCCCACATGTGCCCCATCGTCGGTGGCATAGGTGCTGGCACGGTTGGCTGTGGAGCCCGCGTCGGTGGGGCAGGTGTCGGCAAGGCGGGCGTCGGCGCCTGTGCGCACAACCTCCAACCTTTCTCGCTCCACATATTATCAGATGACCAAACTATGTTCGTTGACGGTGTGATGCCGTCGGGCCCATAGAGTCCCGAATATTCCACCCCGTTGACAATGAGGTAGTCGAACCACAACTCCGTATTGAAGCTCTCCACCAGGATGGGTGCCGCTGACCCCGAATCGATCTCCACGGTGCACTCCTGGTCCACGCCGTAATCCTGCGGGTAGTTGGGGCTCTCCACGCAAGGGCCATCAATCGCGCACTCGCCGCTGACAGCCGCCCACATGTGCACCAGTGCCGGCGTCGGAGGTGCGGGAGAGGGCGACATGGCTGTCGGTGGTCGAACAGGTGTCGGTGGCACGCTTGGCATGGACGCGGGTGTCGGGGCAGCGGGTGTCGGTGGGGCAGGCGTCGACGGTGGAGAGCCTGCGCACAGCCTCCAGCCACTCTGGGTTGCAGTAAAGTCAGAAGACCAAACAATACTCGTTGATGGTGTGATGCCGCTGGGACCGATGCCTCCAGAATACCCCACTCCGTTGACAATGAGGTAGTCGAAAAACGATTCCGTATTGAAGCTCTCCACGAGGATAGGTGCCGCTGACCCCGAATCGATCTCCACGGTGCACTCCTGATCCACGCCGTAATCCTGCGGGTAGTTGGGACTCTCCAGGCAAGAGCCGACAAGCGTGCAGTCGCCGCTGACTGCTGCCCACATGTGCACTGCAGGCTGCGGTGTCGGTAGCGCCGCAGGCGTCGGTGGCTCAGGTGCCTGTGCGCACAACCTCCAACCTTTCTCGCTCCACATATTATCAGACAACCAAACTATGTTCGTTGACGGTATGATGCCGTCGGGCCCATAGATTCCCGAATATTCCACCCCGTTGACAATGAGGTAGTCGAACCACAACTCCGTATTGAAGCTCTCCACCAGGATGGGTGCCGCTGACCCCGAATCGATCTCTACGGTGCACTCCTGGTCCACGCCGTAATCCTGCGGGTAGTTGGGGCTCTCCACGCAAGGGCCATCAATCGCGCACTCGCCGCTGACAGCCGCCCACATATGCACCAGTGCGGGTACTGGTGGCGCGGGTGCTGGTGAGACTGCTGTCGGTGGTGGGGCAGGCGTCGATGGCGGAGGTGTCGGTGGAGCGATTGGCATTGGCGCATGCGTCGGTGGCGCAGGCGTCGGTGGCGCAGGCGTCGACGGTGGAGAGCCTGCGCACAACCTCCAGCCACTCTGGGTTGCATAGGAGTCGGAGGTCCAACCTAAGCTCGTTGATGGTGTGATGCCACTTGGACCAGCACTTCCAGAATACTCCACTCCGTTGACGGTGAGGTAATCGAAATCCGCAGCCGCTCTTACACGCGGTGGAGCAGTTTGTTCACGTCTACCAGCTGTCTGGTAGGATCTCTGCAGTGTTCCATGACCGCCTCCCCCTTCGCCGCGCTCACGGGTTGAGCATCGCCCCCCAGAAAGAGCCACAGGACGGGCCCGAGGCTGGATCGAAGAGCCCCCGAAGGCGGCCACGCCCGCGGAAGAAGGCCCCAGGACGGCCCAGAGGAGCCGCCCAGGGGCCGAGACATCCCCGAGATGGTCGAGCCGAACCTCTTCGGGAGAGCCCGGTGGAACCGCTGCAGGGTGGCCCCGAGACCCTCGACCGGGCCACCGGCGGGCTTTTGAATGACCCCCCATCGAGGCCCCAGGGAGGCCCCGAGGAAGCCACCTGAAATGAAGGGAGCGGGGCCGTCGACGCGAGCGACGTGCGGGGACGACGACTACGACGACGAGCGCGACGACGACGAGGACGACGAGGGCGACGACGAAGAGGGCGAGGACGAGGGGGAGGACGAGGGCGACAGCGACGACGACGAGAGCGACGACGATGACGAGGGCGGGGAAGACGGCGACGTCGTCGTCGTTGTCGCACTCGTCCTCATCCTCTTCGTCGTCGTCCTCGCCGTCGTCGTCCTCGTCGTCGCAGTCGTCGTCCTCGCACGTCGTCCGCGTCGATAGCCCGCCACGCGAGACGCTGCGGACTGCGCACAATCCGGCGATTTGCTTTGTCGAATCGCCTCCAAGACTGCCAAGATGACCTCCAAGGTGCCGTCAAGACGCCCAGGATGGCCCCAAGAGAGCCCCAAAATGCATCGAAGACGGCCCAAGATGCACCCGGGACGGCCCAAGATGGCCAAAGACCAAGAGGCTCCCAAGAGGCCTCGAAGAAAGTTAAGGAGGCCTCCAACAGGTCCTCCAGCAACGCCAGAAGAAGCCAAAACCATTGATTATCCCATGGTTATTAAAGATTTTCGGAATTTGCTTCATCACGGCCATTCCGACAATCCAATACAGCCCCAGAGGCCCACAAGATGGCCCACAGAGCGCCCAAGAGGCATCCAAGATGGCCCCAGGACGGCCCAAGATGCTCCCAAGACGGCCCCCACAGGGGCCTTCAAACGGCCAAGATGGCATTCAAGACGACCCTGAAGCGCCCCAAAAGGGCCACAAGACAGCCCAAAGGGGCTCCCAAGATGACCCATGACAATGTCAGACGCGCCAGGGACGCCGTAAGACGGCCAAAGAGGCCCCCGAAAAGCTCCTGCAGGCACAACGTGTGGCAGAAGCAGAAATAGCGGATGCCTTTTAGCCTTGAGCCAACCCGGCAACGGACCAAGAACGTCGTGAGTCTTGGTTCCAACTCCCTCGTGAATGAAAGTAATGCTAAATCTAAACCCTGAAAACTGGAACTCCACCACACGGGTCAGACTTGCTTATAGGTTAGGAGCCCCCCTGCGAGCAGCACTATACAATCTAAACATTCGTCGTGCCTAGCAGGACCCAAGGAAAAGGGGAGAGAAGGAGAAAGGTTGCTGGAATCCGGACCCGGAACGACACTGCAGAAAGCCGACCAGGACAGAGCCCAGAGTCTTGAACTAGAGTCTTTCTGGAAGCGGCCTGGGAGCGATCCTTGCTTCTTGGGTTCTGCTTGCGTCGATCCAGCTCCTCGGCCTCGTCTACGAGGGCTAGCTTACCATGGGTGGGCAGACTCGCCAGGGCGGCAGTGCCCTTGGATATGTCGTCCTTCGTGAAAGCATCAACGGGATCCGACCGTGGGGACTCCAGCGGACGTGTCCGCTCCTTCTCTAACGTCTCGCGCACCACTGCCAGATCCAGTGCCGTCCTCCTGCCCCTGGCACTGGCGCTGCCTTCCTTGGGCATCGTGTCGTAGATACTCCTGGCGTCTACGACGTGGACGTGCTCTTCACGACCGCCGAGGCGGCAGTTGCTCCTGAGAACTGCAGTGAACGGACCTGCTTCCCGGGAACAATCCGAAACGTCCACATATTGAAACATCACGTCTCGGTACAAGATTTGACAGGGAAAAAGGAAAAAAACTACTTCCGCCACTGCCGAGGACAGAGCTTGCGTTTCGCCGGCCAGAGTCGAGGCAACTTTCCAGCGGAGCTTTGGACTCCTCCACCCGAGGGTGGACGCTCGAACCACGCGGTTTTCAATCACGCTCGTATCCGTGGCGAGCACCACCCACGCGCCCTGCGCGTGGTCCTCCGGGAGGCCCCTCTCGCCCACCTGACCTTCGTTCGCCCCAACCCCTCCGGCGTCGGAAAACGACGCGAAGGCGATTTTGTCTTGGTCGAGGCGCCAGATGCGCAGGCCTCTAGAGGCCGTCGCTCTCCAGTGACGGACCATCTTGTTAGCACAGGACACGTCTCTCACCGTAGGCTGCTTGAGCCTGCTGGCCAGAATGCCAGCCGCCCCCGCGGCCTCCGGTCGAGATTCACGCCCGACCCAGTTCAGCTCGTAGATAAGTGATCTTAAGGCCTTGAACTCTCCCTTATCAAGGGGGGGGACTTCTTTTGACCCAACCGTCCCCGGGCGAGAATCACAGGTCGGATCCCCTCGAAAATGCACTTTTCCTGGTCCATGGTCGCGCGCCGCGGGCCGTCGCGCACAGATCGCCCGGCGCACTCGACGGGCCCCGCGCGACAGTCGCGGCACTTCCCGAAAATGAACTTGCACTCGAGAGCACTACAGATCCACTGCCTGGATTCGGACGAGTTGCTGGCTATAAAGAAATCATCCACCTCCAAGAGAATCCCGTTAACTATCTTTCCTCTTGAGTCGTAGCAGGTCCACCAACGCGGTTCCAGGAGGCTTCGACAGAAACCCTTGTCTTTCAAAAAAACGGACGATAGTTTTGCGCCATGCTAGAGGCGCTTCGTCGAGACCAGAAACGCTGACGTTCACACGGATGAGGGGGCCGGGTTCAACCTTGATTCCTTCGCATGGTTCCTCATACATTCCTCCTTGCGAACGCTGCATGGGATCCGACTGGCGAAAAGCATTCTTGACATCAGCGATATCACCGAGAAGGGAAAGGTTCATCATCACCTGAATGAACACGTGGATAGACGTGGTCTGGAAAGTGGGGGAGTAGACGAACAATAAGCCTGTGTCTGGATCCTTGTGTCCGAGCACACACCAGCGCGACTTCGCCTGAGGCTCTGAAAACGCATCCCCACGGGTTGCCACCTACGCGCCACTCAGCTGATAATGACGCGCTCAAGACAAGAGCGCTTCACTGCCGCCGCCCCCTTCGGCGGCATGACTTCTACCGCTCCTGAGTTGGCCATGCTTTGCCACCCCTCATCATCTGAAATCTCAGACTTGCCACGCACGGCTGGCGAGAGCTTGCCGAGAGACACCTCGCCGCCGCGGCCGACCGCGAAGATTTCCAGATCCGGTTCGGGCCCCGGGACCTCGGTCAGAGCGACTCCCTCTTCGTCTCCCGGCGTCACCCAGATATGTGCCCCTCCTCTCGGGGGCCGCTCACGCCCCCCCGATCCGCTGCCGCGGGACATGTTCTCAAACTCCTCGATCCTGCGCCCGACGACGCCCCGATGCCCCTGGCCAGGCCTGAACTCTGTCGGGCCCACAGGCGAGGAGGGAGGGAAAGACGGAGGAGGGAGAGCAGGATGGGAGTGACCGGGGGAAGAGATAGGAACGCCGCGTCCCTCTCCTGGAGTGCCCAGCATGGAGGCGGTTCGATTCTGGCGCGCTTGACGTCGCCCGCCGCCGGCGGGCAGCTGGCACTTCGACTTGTCGCCTCGTCAGCCCTGCGCCTGAGAATACAGGCGGGGACATCTCCGGGCTGGTCGATCCTAGTTCTGCCTCGAAAGCGAGGCGCTCGGAAGCTCTCGGCCTCGGACTGAGCCCTCTAGTTCCTGCGAGTGAAGCGGGAGGAGAGGGAGAGGAGGAATCTTCTGGAGAGGCGTCGGGCTGAGCAGCACTGGGCCCTCCCGGCCTCTGCGGGGCCTCGATCTCGCCCTCTCGGTTGCTTCTGTCCGGAGGGAGAGAGGGAGCGCCGAGAGGGAGGAAAGTGGCCTCGCTGCCGTCGGGAGACACCTGCCGGGAGTGGCTGTCCGACTCCTCGGAGATAGATGGGAGGCGAGTCACCTCAGATCCGGCTCGAGCAACGACCGAGCCTCCGTCCGAAGAGGGGGGAAGAGGACCGACCCGAGGCCTAGCCGTCCGAAACCCCCTGACGGGGTCGAGGTTCTGGCCCGTGCGCCCTCCTACCTCAGGCCCAACTGGCGGCGACACCAGCCATGGAGGTGGCGGGGAACCCGCGGGCACGCTGGGCGCCGGATCGGACCCCGGGGCCAGGGCTTGATCCCAAGCCTCATCGGGAGGTGGGCCCTCCCGCTGCACATCCACAGCCGAGGCCCGTCGCGTTCGGACTTGGCCAACCAGCTCGGTCCACTGCGGATCTTGCGCTAGCTTGATCCCGCACCTGTTCGGGAGACCACTTCCAGAGACGCGCTCTCGCCGCGACCCAAACCGTTCTGCGCTCAGCCAGCACTACGACCCCCCCAGGCCCGCCCAGGCGTCGCGGCGCTGGCCGAGAGCGTCGGCCCTGGGACCCGCCTTGGTCGCACGCCTCCGCACAAACACCCAGTGGCCCGGGGTAAAAACTCACCCTGGGCCGGGCCCGGCACGGACCCGACTGGCTCTCTGAACCTTCCCCCGGGCAATGGTCTCCAGTGCCAACCTACGGGCTAGCTCTCGCACCTTCTGAGATCGAGCATACTCGGCCCCGGCCGAATCCCACACGGACGCTGGCCTCAGGCTGCCCCGCAAGCCTGGAAGGCCAAGATGATCGTCAGACAATAGCTCACGGGGAAACCTGGGATTCACTCCGAGAACAAGTTGGGGGGGAGAGAGACCGCCGCTGTGCCGAAACCGATGCGTGCGCGCACAACTCATATATAAGTTCCTCGAGTTCAGCCAGGTCTGCTGGAATGGACGACCCTGCTTCCAGTTCGGCCTCCACCCGCTC